TGGATGCTGAGGTACAGATCTAGGTCCTTGAATGGTAGAAATATAGTGTGTCAAAGGTCATGCTAGCTTGTATTTTGGTACTTTGGAAGAAGGGACCTTAAGTGTTTACCAGATTAACAGAGGTCTCTGAGTCAGAAGAGGGAATCTCTTGTAACTCCTGTAAGAGTCCCCTTGGCTGAGCAAGTACAGGCTCTGCGTCCTGTCTATCAGCCTATGGTAGAGGATCGGCTGCCCCTAGATCGGCAACCTCCAAGTCGGCTGCCCCTGGGTCGGCAACCACCAGGTCGGTTACTCTCAGGTCGGCTGCCCTTTGAGTTGACACGTTTGGAACGTTTGTATCAGGAGCAGCAGAAGTAGGTATGGGCATGGTGACCGGTGCCATAATAGGGAAAGAAGGGTCTGAAGCGACATACGGTAACCTGCCCATCTCTGAAGCAGTTGCCTCGTTGGAAGATGAGACCCTTGTCGTTATCTTTTCGGTGGATGAAGGTATTTTATTCGAAGCCCGGCGCTTGGTCGGAGGCTCTGGGTCTGGTAGTTGGTCGGTTGGTGGTTTTGTGGTTTTAGTTGGTCTGGAAGCAAGTTGGGCAGTCGCCCGAGCCGAAGCTACACCTGAGTATAAAAATGAGAATTAATACCATGGTAAGTAAAGGATCAAGTTAAATTAAAGGTATGAGATTATACCTGGACGGGGTCGGGACCTCATAGGGGGCCGACCTGAGGGGTGCTTTGTTGGGGACGGTTGACTGTCCCCAGAAGGTGGGATATTTTGAGTTTGAGAGGCTCTTCTCTTCCTCGGCGGAGTACCCGACTCGGTGCCGCGAGTGATCACGTTCCTTCGGGTGTTGGTCAGAGGGGTCGCCCCTAATATTATTGCAGGTGGGGGAAGAAGGATGTTTAGCAAGTGATCCTTGTCAGGGGCGATCAGGGCCCAAGTAACCGACCACCACTCACGAAAAGACTCAACTGAAGTTGGAGAAGTTTTGAAAGGGATGTAAGTGTTGGAAATGATGTAATTTGTGAGTTGGGATATGTAGGGGGCGATTGCATCAAGAATGGCTCTCCCATCCAGACTTTGAATTATTAGATGGGATTAGCAATAGGACCAGGCAGGCCCTATTGGCATCCAAATTGACGGGCCAGAAATTGAGGCTAGTAGTTGAATGTATAAAAGATTCTAGGACCCTTTTTACCGATTTTCTTACTGGTGAATAAAGACCTGGGTTTAAGAGCAACATCCCAGGAGAATGGGTAAGTTGGATGTGGAAGTGGATTTGGTTGGGACAAAGGCGAAGGAACAGGGAATGGCCAAAACAGACCGGAAGCATAACCAATATACTTTTTGTGTATGTAAAAATGGTTGTCATTTCGATTATCAGTAAGAATGGCTGTTATGATTGGATCAGAAGCTTAGAGGTTATTACGACCTAAGCAAACTCGGTTAAGGGCTACTCCTAGGGATTTCTTAAGTGTGGGAGCAACAGGAGGATGACCAAGTTGGAAGGCGTCGGGAAAATTGAGACGGAACCATAGTTCCAGGAACCAAAAAGGACCCGACGCGGCAGTGTCTAACTTCTTACCATCTTTATCAATAAGGCGGACACTGACCCTGGATAGCCCTTCAAAGAGATTGGCAAGGAAAAGGGTGCCCAACGAAAAGAACCGACCCGAGGCTATGTGTATAGCAAGATCAAGATGAGAAGACAGGACACATTTCGAAGGAGAGACTACAACATACTTACAGAGCCAAAAGAGCAGAAAAGATGTGTGCTCTCGGTCGGTTACAGGGGTCCCGTCGGCTCCTCGTTGGTCATTTAGAAATTTAGTCCAGCCCCATTCTCTCACATCTGTCAGAGACCAGCCCAAGTGGTCTGCGTTGGGCTCTTGTCCATCTAGGGCACCCATTACAGGGTCTTCCCCAACGATTGGCAGATGAGCGATCATGGCTACATCCATGAGGGTGGGGCCGATGGGGGCTGTTGGAAGAAGGAAGTTGCAAACCTCAGAGTGCCAAAACGCTGCTATGGCCAGGAGGACTTTCTCATGTAAATGGCATGGGAGAGTTGACAGACGTATGGCTTGATCGATTTGTTGAGTTTTCCATTGCTCCTGGTAATGTTCTGCTATTCTCTGGTACCAGGTGCGATAAGGATCCTTGGGATCCGTCAAGTGTGTTTTGATGTTGTCATGAAGACGAGTCGCATTGTAGTTGGGGCTGTTGATCGCCAGCAGATTCTTTGCCTCCAAGACTTCCCTCATACGGTTGGAGTCTTCAGCAGTTGTGCAATATGGACGAACAGTTGGTGTGTGCATTTTCGTCGACATAAGAGTGGTTTCAGGGATTGATCCATCGATGGGAAGTGCAGGGATGTATCGATTCGCCATGGTTAGAGTTGTTGAGATTGTGATTCACAAAGGCTCGTATTGAAGAAAAAGGAAGTTAATTAGGAGTGTTGCAGTAACTGCTGCAGTTGCTAAGGGAATTTTTCAGGAGGGTTGTGATTTATGAACTTCCAAATGACGATTGATAAATGGCGTTTGAAAGTCTCTTGGCGGCGGGCAAGTTGTTACGTATGAAATATAGAATTAGGTTAAAAAGCCTAAGGTAAAAAGAAAAATGGGCCTAGCAATCGAGTTGATCGAACTGGCCGAGGGGCACCATGGGAAACTCAGGTAAAAGAGGTTTATATCTAAGGAAAATGCAAGTCGGGAGGTCCTCAGGTCGGGAAGTCCGTAGGTCGGGAGGTCCTCAAGACGGAAAGTCCTCAAGACGGAAAGTCATCAGGACGGAAAGTCTTCAGGTCGGGAGATCCTCAGGTCGGGAAGTCCTTAGGTTGGGAGGTCCACAGGTCGGGAAGTCCTCAGGTCGGGAGGTCCGCAAGTCGGGAGGTCCTCAAGACGGAAAGTCATCAGGACGGAAAGTCCGCAGGTCGGGAGGTCCTCAGGTCGGGAAGTCCGCAGGTCGGAAAGTCCTCATGACGGAAAGTCCTCAGGTCGGGACAGGTCGGGAGGTCCTCAGGTCGGGAAGTCCGCAAGTCGGAAAGTCCTCAGGTTGGGAAAGGTCGGGAGGTCCTCAGGTCGGGAGGTCTGCGACTGGACCAACAAGTCGGATGGTCTCTTAGTCGGGAGGTCTGCGACTGGACCAACAAGTCGGATGGTCTCTTAGTCGGGACGTTTGCGGCTAGACCAACAGGTCGGATGGTCTTTAAGTCGGGACGTTTGTGGCTGGACCAAACAAGTCGGATGGTTTGCAGGTCGGGAGATTGGCAGTCGGGCCAAAAGGGCGGAAGGTCTGTGGTCGGCTCAAAGAGTGAAACAGAGTGATGATTTTGGTCTGCTGAGGGCACGTGTCAGCAGAAGAAGGGTTGGCAGACGGTTGAAAAGGAGACGTAACCGTTCGGGCGACGGTTTCCAGTACAGTTTCTCAGGGAGTATTTAAGGATTTGGATTTTTCTGGAGAAAACATCTTCAATCAACTTCAACAAAGCAAAGTCAGATTCGGGGATCACCACTTTAAATTTCCAGCATTTTAATTTTCAGTTAATTTTTTTATGTACCGTACAGTGTTTAGAGATTTCTAATCTCAGGCACTAATTAAAAAAGTTTAAAGATATTTTCCATATCTTTGAATATTACTTTTTGTTTGTTGAAAAAATACATCAACAACACCCAAGGTAATCGAACAATTCATAACACACCCCTAAATCAGACGATAAGATTTATTCTTTGTATAATATGGGCTTATCGGGTCGGGATTTCAACCGGGCCAATAACATCAAATTGAGCTTGAATACAAAGGTCCCTCATATACAAATCATGAGCCAAATCCAACAATCTTAAATATGGTATCACTAACCAAATACATCAAATGTTTCAAGACTAAAATAGTACTTTATTTTGTAAATAAATTATTAAATTATACTCACTCTATCCACTAAAATTAGCTCATTTGAGTCCGACATGGATATTAGGGAAAATAAATATACTATTTCATTGAAAAAGTGATAATATAAAAAAAAATATATAGCTTGAGGTACTTTTAGAAATTTAGTTAAAAATTAAAATAAATATAAAGAGATAATGTAATAAATGAAGTGAGTGATATTTATTGTAAATAAATGTTGAACGAAAGAGTAATAATTAAATATGGATTTGTTAATTTTGTCAAAATTAGTAATTGAGTAAATTTAACGGACAAAGTAATAAAAAAAATAATAATAAATTTGACGGGTGAAGAAAATAATAAATTTAAAAAAAAAAAAAAAAAAATAGGCTAGTCCAATTTGGCACTACTTCAAACTGAACGTTCAGACCTATAGACCAGATTGGGTTTGAAGAACACAATTTAAAATCAGACCAGGTTAGACCGGCACGAAACAATTGGCAGCTCGATCCTATCACCTCTAATTTTGTATTATATTTATAATTTTAGATACTTTTATTGAATGATATTTGATAGTATTATAAAAATATCATATGAAATAATTTTTTGTATTTATTTATTTTTCATTATTATTATTATATGTATATATTCGATCTTTTATATTGTATTTTTGTTTAATATTTTAAAAATAATAATCCTATAAAATCTTAAAAAAACACTCAAAATATGCCTTGAATTAGATATAATTTGTTGTTTTAAAACTTTTTTATTTTTCTACTATTTTTTCTTTTTACAACTTTAAATAGAAATAGTATTAGATTTTATAAAATATTAAATTAAATTTTTATTTAGACAATATATATTTGTATATAAACATTAAAGAAAAGAAAAAAAAAAGAAGAAAATCACAAACCTAACTAAAATATTACTGTCAGATGCGGTATCTGACAGTAAACTCTAATGATTTTTCTGTAACTCCAGGGATCGGAGGTCCTGGATAGATCCAAGCTGTCCATTATGCGTACCCAGAAAATGAATGGTGTGGATCATTCTAGAGTACTGTACAAATGGCTGTTGAAAACCTCATAAGCCTTGCAGTATAAATTCAGAAGTGCCATTCCATTCTGGCAAAGTCAGGAAAGACTTACAGTTTTTTCATCTACCAGCGTCGTTCGGATCCAAGCATGCCCCAAGGAACGCTTGAAGTTGTTCTCATCAGCGCCAAAGGCCTGGAAGACTCCGATTTCTTATGTATGTAATGTGTTCTTCCATGAAAATTATGCAAGTTTTATCTTAGAATTTTAGTTTTGTTTGTATGGATGAATGGGCGAATCGATTTCTGATGTGTTCGTAAGATTGTGGGAGAAAATTGCGTCTAAGTATAGAAATTGCCTATACGGCTATGCGCGGACGATCCTTTCTCTCATTTTGTTTGGTTCAATTTTTGGTGATTTGAGTGAATCAATATGGCTGTTCGTGCAAATGCGTTGATTTCCGGAACGATGTATTTTCAGATTGGACAACCGATCTAGATGAATTTCGATATTATCTATGGCGATTCTTTGTAGATTCTAGGACTATCGGTTGACTTGGCCAGTAATTGATGAGAACGGTGAGGGAAGTGACTCTCAACTTTCCGACGATTGTTTAATCTAAGCCTTATTGTTGATCAAAAACTTCAAAATCAGTACATCGATTCAGAATTTTCTAATTCCAGATGGTTGTTATCTGACTGGTTGAACAATTGGGGATAATCATGTCTCATTGATTGATACTTCGGAGTTCAGTGTCTAAGGGCCTTAATGTTTTCTCTGTTTGATTCATGATCCATAATCTCTGTGTTGAAGTCTTTTGTTCTGTGATGAGCAGCTGGCATGGATCCTTACGCCATTCTCACTTGTCGAACTCAGGAGAAGAAAAGCAGTGTTGCATCAGGTAAATTTTCAATTACTCATGTCATTGCAGTAACTTTGATTTATCATCTACCTACAATGATGGAAAAACCAAATTAAATACAAAAATATATAACAGAATTATTCGACTGCTTCACCATAAACACAAAGAAGATTGCAATCCCAATTCCCATTATTTTATATCCTAAAAATGATTGCATATTTCATTAGCATAAAAAGCTGCACCTCTACTACATGAACTTGTTTCATTAACTAACTGGTCATGTATGTAATCAACTTATGGCTGGTTTGTCTGTCTTCCTTATTGAAAATTTGTGATCAGGCGATGGGTCTAACCCCGAGTGGAATGAGACATTTCTCTTCTCAATCACTGAAGGTGTTGGGGAACTGCACATCAAATTAATGGATAAAGATACATTTACTGCTGATGATTTTGTTGGAGAAGTAAGGTGAGTAACTCTGCCTGTTTCTCTCTGTTCATTTCCATAAGTTTTTCCGAATTATATATAATGCAACATGATCATGATGGGCTTGAGGTATTCTTCTTTTTCAAATGTCTCCGCTCCGATCAATCTTAACTCTGAGGTTCAATTTTTCCTGAACTGCAGAATTTCTCTGGACTCAGTTTTCGACCAAGAAGACATCCCACCAACATCATATAGTGTTGTCAAGGATGAACATTACTGTGGAGAGATTAAAGTTGGTCTCAAATTCACTCACCAGGTGAAATCTCCTATGCCTCACATTACCTACATGTATACAACTTTGCTTTTCTTAATAATAAAAAAGTTGTATTATCACTAATCTTACATTGTTGAATTATCACTTACCTTATTTATACCACTCGTATAATTTTGAGTATTTGGCCCCCTGTCAATTGTTATTACTGGCTCGTTATCAAGTATGATATTGTCCACTTTGGACAAGTTCCTATTTGAATTTCCTTTTGGACTTCTCTAAAAGGTCTCATTTTTTTCTTCTTTTTTTTTTTTTTTTTTTTTTTCTCGTATATGGAACTTTAGTTTGTTTGTTTTTTTCCTACATAATCCATAGGGGATTGATTACGAACCCATATACAAAAATAGTTTGGATCGCATGCTTGATCATCATTTTGTTTTGGTTGGATTTTTATGCAGAGAAGCAGAGATGTATCATTGGAGGAATATGGAGGGTGGAAAGAGTCGTCTATGGATTAAGTGGGGTAAGAACTTCTTCTTCTTCTTCGTCTTCCTTGGGGTTGGATGTTCGTCCTTGCTGCTACTGTTTGTTTGATTTGATTTGATTCGATTCGATTCGATTTTGGTTGAAACTTGAACCAACTTCTTGTGTTAAAAACAAAATGGTTGCATGCATATATATATATATATATATATATATGACCTCTCCAATTTATTTCTATTTTGTCGGTAACGTGGGAGGGACCCATAAAACTATATATTATCCTTGCATGCAGCCAAAAGATGACCTTTTTTATTTTTGCTTGTTTCACATATTTTTTTTTTCTTTTTGTAAATTTAACCGTTTAAAAGTAGTTAACAAATATAAATTAATTTAATTAAATTTTAAATATTTTGCAAAATTTCTTTATTTATGTCTTTTTTTCAATAAATAAATATTTTTATCTTTTAAAACTTTATCATCTTTTTTAATTTATAATAAATATAATATATAAAAAATCATTTTATAATTTTACTTGTAAAAGAATTATATAACAACTAAAATCAATATTGGAAAAACATACAAAAATAAAATCATATCAAATTACTTATACATCATAAATTTTTTATATTTTAACCTATTTTTTGGGTCTTCTATATTTTTTTTCATTATTATTTTAATTTTATGTTGAATGATTATTTAACATCAACGTCGGGACTAACACATTATATTATAAATTGCAAACTTGTAACCTCACAATCACTCACTAACAAATAATGTTATAAACTGTAACAAAATCTGTAAAAGAAGTAAAACAAAAAATCCGGAATTCTATAAATGTAAGAATTTTAGAATGGTGATCCTACTGAATTTTTACATATAATTTATTTATTTTAAAATCATGAATCTAATTAAATAAACTATTATGTCACCTCTATACTCAATCAGACACGAAATAAGGATTTCAAATAAGGGGGCTAAAATTTAGAATTAACCGTTGTACAGATAAAAAGATATACAATTCATTTACTCTCAAATAACTGTTTTCTTCGAGTAACCATATTTTGAAAATGTTGCAAAATAGGTTATGTATCAATATTTTCAAATATTTCATTTTCAGTATAATATAGCAAAGATTTTCTCATCATGTTGAGCAAATCAGTCTTGATAATCTTCATCACATAAAAATATCTTTCAACGGTAGCCGTTGCAATGAGTAGAATTAACGGCAACTCGATAAGTTGATACACTAACTTCAAATTCATAGTAGCATATCATTTTTTTTCAACCATTCTAATGAAAAAAAATCTTCAATACTCTCAAGATTGGCAAAAATAAAAATAAACATACACAACTTTTTTTCACTATGGAGATGTACTGTTTCAATTCTGCTGCTAGCATAACTTTATCATCAAAATTATTTGGATATAATTTAGCAAGATAGAGTAGTTTATCAATGTCAAAGCTAGAGAATGAATCTCTAGGATCAAGGCATGCAATGCCTAAAAGAAATTTTGAACTTGTCTTTGCAAAACGATTATTCATTTCTTGTGTGATATGATCAATAACTTAATATAACGATAAAACAAACTCATGATATGTAAAGTAAATAAACTAGTTAATTTATCATATGAAATAAAAATAGACATGTACCTAAAGAAAAATATCCCGGCGAAAGTAATGAAAATAAATCTTTGGTTGGCCATCAACTTGCCTTTGAAATCTAACTCGACCACGCAAAGGATCTTTCATTTCAACACAAAAATATCTTTACTAAAACAAAAATCCGAGACAATTTTCAAGAATTTCTCCCAACTATCATCCTCCCGAAATTCCTTCAATTCATCCTTCAATGCTATAATCAATGATTTTGCATTACTAATATTCTGAGATTTTCGTTGCAAGACAGTTGACAACGCATTTGTTTTTGCCAATAATGTGAACATCAAATGAGCAATGAAGATAAATTCAAAACTTAATATTTTTTCAATCAAACCTGCAGTAGCACCTCGACTTCTTTGATCAATGGCAACCTCAACAATAACTTCAAGAACATCTGTAACTGTATCCCACATGTCTAAAATATGTTTGATTGTCCTATAACGGGAGCCCCAATGAGTGTCACTTGGCCGAACTAATCATGTTTCCTTCTTGTATCAATTTCACCACTTTCTATGCGTTGTACAAGAGCATCATGATGTTTTTGTCGAAGAACATCTCTTCGTTTACACGAAGCTCCAACAAGATTCACAATCATAATTAAATAATCAAAAAAATTATTCACTAATGCATGATTCCTTGAAGCTGACACAATTACTAACTAAAGTCGTTAAGCAAAACAATGAACATAATATGCTTGGTGATTTTCATTAAAAATAAGTGTCTTCAAACTATTAAACTCACCACACATATTGAAAGCTTCGTCATAACCTTGACCTTTAAGCTTTGAAAGTGCTAGACCATCTTTTGCAAATAAATCATCAATGAATTCTTTTAAAGACTTTGAAGAAGTATAATTAACATGCACAACACCAAGAAATCGCTCAATCACTTCTCCTTTGTTGTTCACAAATTTCAAAACTATGGACATTTGCTCTTTTACCGAGTTGTCTCGAGCTTCATCAATTAAAAGAGAAAAATACTTTTTTCCGATCTCATTAATGATAACTTTTTTCACCTATGTTGTTGAATCTTAGGAGAAGTCAAGTGAGTTTTTTCCAGGATTATTTGAGTTCATCACTTTTTTCACTTCTTCATTCCGATCACAATACCATTTCAAAAGCGCAAGAAAATCACCTCTCTGCATTGACGTCTCTGACTCATCGTGCTCACAAAAAGCCAAACCTTGCTGTAAAAGAATGCAAACTACATCTACGACCGTTGTTAATCGAACACGGTAATCAACTTCCACCTCCTTGTTTTTTGGTGCCAACGCATAATCAATAGTATGACGTTAATCTTGAAATGACTAACATTGAATTTTACCATAACGATGTGTACTTGTTAAAGGTCCTTCATGGTCTTTGAATTTCTCTATGACTCTTTTTCCAATTTCTAAAACTTGAAAGTAGTATCTCCACCATGCTTGTGACGACCTCTATTAAACAAGTAGCACACAAAACAAAATGCAACATTTTTTTGTATGCTATATTCAAACCATTCATATTGATCAAACCAGGTTGATTGAAACTTTCTCATAATTTTGCCAAATAAAGTCCTTGGAAAATTATGATCATGCGGTTGATAAGGCCCTTTAGCTAAATATCATCTTCTTAATTCATCTCTAATATCAATGAGATAGCTATCAATTGGTTTACATAACATTGGATCGCCAACAACATTGTTCTCTAAGAATTCTATTTCTACTTGGTTTCTTTCAACGCATTCTTTGTCATCGGAAATAATTTGACTATCAAATATATTACTTGATGTGGACAAAGATGTACTCAAAGTCAACGAAGTTGACCTCTTTGATTTAATAACAAATTTATCCACAAATGCACACCTAACAAAAAGTTACACAAATAAATCAATATAAATGATCTAATATTAAATTATCAACTTAAACTAATATTTACTAATAAAAAAAAAAATTATCCATGTAAACTGAAATATAACTACACACAAACAGAACACATAAAAAAATAATAATAAATAAAAAATAAATTACCAAGTTACCGATGGAGTTGAAAGTTGAAGAATAAGTAAAAATAACCCAAAAACACCTACTGAAGACGAACGAGTGAAGACAATATGTTTGTTTTGAAGATTCTTGGCGTTGTGAAAGAGAAAAAAGAAGAAAAAATGGCGATAGAGTTATATACTGTCCGACGGGAACTTAGAATATTTTTTGTTTTTGAAAATTATAATTCTAGGGCTAGAAGTGCACATTGTATTTGTTTGTTTTTTTGTTTTTTTTTTGTTTTTATAAAAATAAAATAAATTATTATATTATTTATATATTACTTTTTAAATGGCTTACGCAACAAAACTCAGGAACGGCCGCCGCTGTGCCGGTTATTTTGATTCGATTTCATTTTGTTTTGATTTAATTATATATATATAATAATTTTATATAATATTAATATAAAACTCCGTCCCAAAGATCATGCAATATTTCTTTTTTGGTATGTTCAAACACTCTACAATATTTTCAAAATAGGAAATAATTAATTATACTTAATCTCTACCCAGACTTTATCCCCTCATATCATCCAAATAAAAAAATAAAATATATATTTCTCTCTCAATCACATCACCTAATTTCTAAATTATCATAATTAATACTACCCACCTATAAACTCGTGTCAAAAGCAAATGTTGCATCTTGTTTGGGATGGAGAGAGTATTATATTTTTCTTAATTAAGAAGCAGCTATAATTCTGCCGCAGTATTACGTGGTTTTGATTGAATTTGGTTGGGTTTTGATTGATTTTTTATACTCCCTTTCGTCCCGCAACAAGATTGTCATTAGCTTTTGCGTGTTGATTTTTAAATATTAATTGTTATATCAATACGTAGTAGAAATAAAGAGAAAATGACAAAAATACATTTATTAGTATCTTATAATACAAATACAATGATATTTTTCAAGTAAATTATTCAAATATAAAGATATTTTTAATATTGAATACAATAACGCAAAAACTAAATGACAACCTTCTTGCAGGACAGAGGAAGTATATAAATATTATAATTTTATATAATATTAATAAAAAATATACTTTTTTTTATTTTTTTATTAAGGGGGCTAAAGCCTCACTGCCCTCTGTATAGTTCTGCCATTGTACTCAATTTTAGGTGTCAACTTAAGGTGTGTTTGTTTGGGGGTTTGAATTTTGAGTTGGGATTTGAATAGTAAAAACTTTGAATTTCAATAGTTGTATGATATGATATAAATTGGTGTTGATGTAATGTTTTGAATGTAAAATTGATTTTTAGTATAATATAAAAAAATGAAAAATAAATATTTGATTTGGGGTGTGTTTGTTTGGGGGTTTGGATTTTGAGTTGGGATTTGAATAGTAAAAATTTTGAATTTGAATAGTTGTACGATGTGATATAAATAGGGGTTGATGTGATGTTTTGAATGTAAAATTAATTTTTAGTATAATATAAAAAATGAAAAATAGGTGTTTGATTTGATGTTTTTGGGAGAAAAAAATTGGATGAATAGTAAGAATTTTGCAAAATCTTGCAAACGAACACACCCTTGA